CCCCAAAACCCCAAAACCCCAAAACCCCAAAACCCCGTTCAATTTAAAGATATTGAAAATATAAGGGTAAGTTTATATAAAGCATTTTTTTAATACATAATTATGGAGACTCAAGAGCACCTTGAGAGTAGTAATATCCACTATCCTAACAGTATATCGCCTCTTAACTACAAGAGGGTAACAGTTAGCTCGAAATTGCATGGAAGTAATTGAAGGTATACTATAAATATGCCAAGGATGCCGCCTAAGCATAGTTTTGACAACCAGAAACAGAGAGAAATATTGGAGAATAAAACTATAAATGGCTAAAAAGTTTTAAACAGCGGTCAGGAGTCCTACTTTCACAAGTTATTAATAAAAGCAAGTGAATTTCAGCAGAAATACTCGATTCTCTTGACTTCTTCAGGGAATCTCCTCGGATAAGTAGTAAGTGGCTATTTTTTGTGGAAAATATTACCACGAGAATATTGATAGTCGTTTGAAAAGACAGGGCTTAATAACTTTGCTTTTGAGTCCCCGAAAGTGCCTCCCTTGAAAGAGAACTTACTTGATAGTAGCAAGTCATTCCTTTATACTACTAAGAAGGAAAAGAAGTTCCCTAAATTGATGAATTCAGAGTTTCGGAGTCGAAATACTGGAAATGTGGGAATCAGTATGAATACATCAAAGCTCACGGATAACTATTCCTTTATTACCAAAGTTAGGAATCCTTCACAGATGATTAAGAGTTTTAAGAAGGAGGCCACATCCTTTGTAAATAATGCTCTTCCGAAATGGTCTCAAGCAAGTCCAGGGAGTACGGCTTCTTAGGAGTCCAAGAAGAGAGAGTTAGAAGATATCTGTAGCTAAATATCGATATTTTTGAAAACTTTGGAGATGCTATCTCTTCACTGGAGAATAATTCACAAGAATTATTATCGATACAGGCTTAAGAAAATGCCTGAGCTTAAATAAGCTGATGGATGCAATCCCTAACAGATTAGAGGAGTCGTATTATTATGACACCAAAACTGTGATTCTGAGCTGTAAGAACCCATTCCTGGCTAAAACTCCGAGTGAAGAGTTCCCACTCAGTATCGATTTTATTTTTCAAGCGAGCAAGTTCCAGATTTGCTTAATGAGCATCCAGAATTTCCTGTGTAAAATTGATGATGCTTGAAGGAAGTACGAGAAAGCAACCAAAGGTTTCTTTAAGAAATTTTGGAATAAAATAAAGGATGACAACCCTATTGAAGACCCTGATCTCAAAATTAGTCTGTATGAAAAGTTGTGAGGTTTTTACCAAAATTTAAGAAGCCTTGAATTAGCTAAAGTTCATAACTTAAAATAAGGTATTTAAACTGTTCATCTGAAATAGGTAATATTTAGTAATAATTAACCCAAGTGTTCAACCTTAATTAAAGTATGAGGGGTTTTGGGGTTTTGGGGTTTTGGGGTTTTGGGG